ATTTTGGAAATCCGGAAAGTTAGGGGCGAGAATATTGGAAATTTTGGAATTGAGTTTGTGAGGGCTGATCGCCACCCATCCGATGACACACCATGCACATCTACTCAGTTGAGAGGGCATGGTCTGTCAACGGGGGGGGGCGACCATATATATATATATATATACGTATATGTATGTGTATATATATATATATATAAGTGCGCACATGCACTCACATATGCCGATCCGCAGTCGATCCATCCATCCTTCTAGCCATCTACACGCATGCAGGCATGAGTCTATGTATCTTCTTACCTGTCTATCTAATAATAATAGCTGTCAGCCAGTGAGTCAGTCAGTCAGTCAGCCAGCCAGCCAGCCTGCCTGCCTGCCTGCCTGTCTGTCCCTATGTGTCTCTCTCTCCCTCGCTCTGTTTGTCCATTTGTCCATCTGTCTATCTATTTCTCTATCTATCTATCTACCTATCTGTCTACGTATCGATCTCCATCTGCCCGTCTCTGTGCGAGTGTGTCTGTCCACATATGCACAGAGGGGTAGATGTGCTAAGTCCTTTACCGGCTGCATGCATCTTGTATCCCGGAAGACAATCCAGAGTCAAAGTCAGTAACCCACAAATCCAAAACCATGAATTCCGAACCCTACACTTGCACCCCAGGCCCGAACTCCTAACTCCCGAATATCTCTACCCAAGGCCCCGAAAACCTGAAGTTCTGTGCCGGCTCCGAAGGTGGCTGGCGCAGCTCTGCGCGGAAGATTGTCGGCCGATGGTTCCAGGACCTCAGGGCTCAAGTGTGGAGGCGTTGAGATTTAGGGGCTGGGGTTTGGGGCTCAAGGTGTAGGGTTAGAAATTGAGGACCTGTGGCTTGTAGGGGCCTTCAGCACGCAGTTGTCATCAGGTCGTCTGCAGTCTTCAGGGTCGTTGTGGCTTCGAGTTTTGGGCATACTTGCCGATCCGATTACTCACCTTGACATCGGTTGTTTCACCGTTGCAACATGATGTCAAGCTCGACTTCGGTCCTCCGTCTCGAGTGTAAGATATCCCAAGACACTCCTCCTTGTCAGTTTATACGACCAACTTTATGAACCCTAAACTCGGAAAATTGCAGAGGTCTCGTGGCGGCGCTCGCCACAGAGGGCCGACGCTTCGTGGCCGGGAGGCTTCGGGCCCTGGCCGAGGCTGGTCAACTCTAAAACCCTAAACCCTAAACCCTAAACCCTAAACTCTAAAACCCTAAACCCTAAACCCTAAACCCTAAACCCTAAACCCTAAACCCTAAACCCTAATGGGCTCCTGGCCCCAGGCTTTCTCGCATCTTAGGGTATAAGAGCATTTGTAAGGGGCCGAAGGGTTACGTACGTTTCAGAATCAGGGGTTTATTGTTTCGAGACGGTGAAGCAGTAGTAGTCTAGTAGTCGTTGTAGCAGTAGTAGCAGTAGCAGAGTAGCAGAGTAGCAGCGTAGCAGAGTAGCAGTAGGAAGCAGAAGGCGAGAAAGAAGATATGGAATGCAGAAAAAACACCTACATAGGGATCTGGGGTGAAGGAATACAAGTTAAGGCTTCAGTTCGCTTGGTTTAGGGTTTCGGGCCTTCTTGAGACATTATGGACATTGCATGTGGCTGTTGAGCAGAGGGATTGCTCGTCCACTGCCAACAGACTGAAGGGACGAGCCGTAGAGGGCTTGAGATGGCAACCCCCTGAAGTCTCAACCCCGTTGAAGACCCCAAACCCCAAAGCCTGAACCGCAAAGTCCGAGGCTGCAAGAAAAACTTGTGGTGGATTAGATTTTCCTGAGCTTGCGAGGACGAGGAGGCGAAGCCTTGGTTGCTGCAGAGCCACGTCATGCAGCTGGAGATCATGTCATGTAACTGTAGGTTTTAGGTTTGGGGTTCCGCGGGTGGGATGAAGGACTACTGCGGTGAGTTAGGCTTCAGGGCTTCAGGGTAGTTTAATTACTTCAAATATTAAACGGACAAGAAGCCGGTGTTTGCGGGACAGGCTGGCCACGAAAGGAAAAGCAGTCAAGCTGATCAGAATCACAGCAAGAGTTTCAGCATGATAACAGAGCCATCATGATGGTCTGGAGCCGGTGCTACTGCTGATCATAATATTGATGGTGATTGCGACACCCGAATGCAGCAGTGCTACTTTCTAACATGAAGCTCCCTCGTCGGCCCATCATACAAGCAACCAAATTTGCTGCAAGCCCAAACAGAAGGTGGAAACCGGTCAAGAAACATCACCCTAAAGCCCTAAAAACGTTGCACCCAGGACTCTCCACCAGCTCGTTCGGTTTCACAGCGCTCTGCTGGGCCTCGGCGGCACAACAGCCGCCCAAGCGCTGATGGCAGACTTCGATGGTAACGTGCTCCTGGCACCAGGTCCGTCCCTTACGGTTTCGCTCTTGGTGTTTTCTTGCCAGCATCATTGCCCGCTTTTCCAAGACCAGCACGATCCGTCATTGGTGACATCTGAAAACCGGAGAACATAAAATCCAGTCACGGCCTTTTCGCGGAGACTCTGAAAAGGCCCAGGCTCGGACCTTCAAAAAGCCAGCAAGGACCCCTGAACCCCGAATCCCTCGCGATGACATTTCTCCCATGCCCAATGCTGTATACACCAATACCGTCTGAAAGTTCAACGAGGCTCTGAACCGTATGCACACTTGAATGGAAGTCAAGAAGGCGAGCCATCAGAGGAGCCGGGCGACTCCCCTTCGGAGCCTGTGCAACGTGGCATCCTGGCTAAAGGTGGTTGGTAGGGTTTATGGCATAGGAGTGAGGGGTTTAGGTTTAGGACTTTGGTGTCGAGGGTTTGACCATTCAAGGTTTATGGCTGTGGCCACTTTCAAGCAAATACCGTATCAAATACCCGTAGCATTGGCAAGAGCAAGAATCCACCACGATTGCAACTGCGATGGTGGAGTCTGCACCTGAGTCTGGGTATGTATATACATACATACAGCATCAGACATACATATACATACATGTATAGACACATACACATACGCATACGCATATACATATACATATACATATACATATACGGATACACATACATATACGTATACATACACATTTTCCACTTACATACACATATGCATACGCAGATGCAGATACATGCGAATGCTCATACGTACAGCTTTACTGACACATGTATGTTTATGTACATATATATACACACATGCAGGCATATGTACTTACAAGTGTTGTGGCGTATTATATTGACAAGCCCTGTTGAGTATAAACACACGAAGGCAGAGGAATATGAACGTATGTAACATGTAGGTTGTTAAGATATAGATTTCGATATAGATGTAGATGCAGATATGTAGGGATAGGGACTTGGTAGCAGCCCGGCTAAGCGTAGGTTTGCTATGGTGCAAGACGTGGTGTTGATTTCTTTGGAGCCAGAGTCTTCTGACGCCCCAAGTTTATGGCCTTCAAGAAGCGCAATCAGCTAAAGACCCTGAGCCCTAAACCCAACAAATCTAAAGAACAAAGAGGTCTCTTAGCGGCTCGCCTTGCCGGGGCCTTGCGCCGAGAAGAGGGCGCCGAGGCTTCGAGGCAGCGAGAGTCCGTGTATGTATGTGTGTATATACATATATATATATATATATGTATGTATTTGTGTGTGTGTGTGTGTGCATGTTGGTACTGTAGAGGTCTTTTCAGGCTTTCGAGGACTGGTTTCAGCTGGATGAGCTTGAATTGAGCCCTTGCACTCGAAAACCCTCAACACTACAGACGCCTAGATCCCCAAGGGCCACACCCCTCAAACTGCAACCTCCTTAAGACTCAATCAGCAAATCCGGAAAACCGAAAACCGCAAGGCCCTCATTTTCTCGATTTTGGAGAAATGCGTTAAGTTCAAACCATTTTTCTTTTCGGGGGGTTTGTATCCGAGAAATGCTTAAACACGAGTCCGGCCAAACGCCCCGGGAGGCCTCCCAGAGGCTTCTTGGACATTTGGGCCGACGTGGATGCAGAGTTTGCAGCTTGGCAGCGTACATCCCTGATACAAAATCAAAACTCCATTGTGAAATTCCCAGTCCTCCATCATTGCGGGGCCTTTGGAGTCTGCACGATGCTTTGGGTCATGATGCCTTTGGTTTTTAACCCTTCTGCTGTCTAGGAGTGGCTTCGCTAAGGCTTGAGCTGTTTCAAAGACGACTACCAGTTTCTTCAACAACACTGACCCAGGTGCGGTCGAAGCTTTCGGCTTCCCTGGCAGAGGCCGGAGGGACGGGGGTTACTGTGTGGAGCTTGTGGGTTCGGAGGTTCAGGTTCAGGTCGTGGAACGTCTGTTTACTGAAGCCGCCATATGTCGCGAGCCCTAAAGCTTCGCAGTTTGAACGTTGCAGTGCCTGTAGCAGCCGCACAAGGTGGGATGTTGGGGGTTTCAGGATTTGAGGTTACCTTGACTTCCATAAGAATCCTATAAAACCTGTGCCTAGCTCCGTGAATCGCCCTAGAATTCGTAAGCATCCCAACCCAAGCCCTGCATGTGAAGCTTGCCCCACAATTTACAATTCCGAGTGTCATATGCACCACGAAGTACTTAAATTCAATGAATGATGCCTATCTCCCTAAACACTCCCATATGAGGTTCAATAGGCGCAGAGCCTTTCAAGTGAAAAAGGCTTCGGTACCGTTTTTCTGGACCGGCCGAGTATAGGGTGTTATGGGGCTTGAGGTTTAGGGATTTAGCTTAAGGGTTCCGGCAGGCTTAGGGTTTCGTTATTGTGAAAATGAATACCGACGTTTCAAACCGTAAAAAAAAATTGCTGGTTCGTATTGCCGGAAAGGAGCTTAGACGCGTTTACCAGCTTTAGGGCTGCAGGGTTTGGGATTTTTTGTTCAGGATCGTCGAAACCGACCGTATCGACAAACAGGGTTTGAGTGTGGTGAGTGTGTTTTAGAGCAGAGACCTTCAGAAAAGTTGCATGGCCTCGGAAAGCCAAAGAAAGCATGACTTACCACGAACATCCTGGCACGACTCCAACGTCGACAAATATTGTCTTTTCTTGGCCAAAGCCTCGCCAGTCGCGGTGTGACGAAACCTACTGAACACATGTGGAAGCATCGGAAAGCCCCCGGCAGTCCGGCGATGCTTGGCGGGTGAAGTCGTGGCCTCGGGTGGAGTTCATGGGTGCGGGATAGGTTTTTGACGGGCTTAGGGGTTCACACATAGGGTTCAACAGGTTGGGGACCGTCTTTTTCTTCACCTCGGCTGTCGTACTTTTCACATTGAGTCTTTTTGCTAGCCTGGACTTCCCCGCTACACGGGGACAGGTTTGTGCTGACACGGCATGACATAGCTTCGTAGGTCTTGTGAGGAGGTGCGCACTTGACCTTCAGACAAGCTAGCTAGAGAAAATGCTGAAAATGTCTCTACAGTGCAATGGTGCAGGCATCACAGGTACAGCTGTGCGAATCCCAATCCCCAACCCTGCCGCAGAGGATGGATACATGGAGGTACTAAAGCCTGAGGCTCAAGATCCAAAGCACCTATCTGTCGTGGTTCGAGGCTCTGGTTGTTGGATATCGTGACGCACCTGGCTGTGCCAACGATTTTGCATTCGCGACTGACAACTCCCATGCAGCAGCAAAGGTGGCAGCGCTCACAAACAATCTGACATTCAGGACGACAGCTATACAAGCAGCGGTGGTGCTGGTAAGTGGTGTTGGTGGCTTGTGCTTCTGCTGCTGCCGTTTCCTGCTGTGGCTGCCCGCCGATGCCGCGACTGCTAGCGGCTGCTGCCACCGAGAGTTTTTGGGCCTGGGGTGGGGCTGTGGGCTCTTGGGCTATGGGGTCTGGCGCTTGCGCTGGCAGCAGCGGTGGTCATCTTCGTTGCGGTGTGTTGCCGTCATCGTCGTCGTGGCCCTTGAAACAGCAGCACTACTATCAGTAATCCGTGATAGTGACCATGGTTGGAAGGCTGAGAAAGGCAATCGCAGTACTGGCAACGCAACGCTGGCAGCGGCAGGCATGTGAGCCTCAAAGTCGGTATTCAAAAAGCACAGCAGTAGGAAGAGTGTCAAAATTCGCTCTACTAGCATCATCGATCCTCGAAACAGTATTGTAAGAGAAAGGAGACCAGAACCGAAGACTGCAAGGCCCAAGCTAACCGCCAGGCCACTGCGTCAATCACGAGCGGACGGCGGAGAAGGTGGGCCTCTGCCCAGGGTCGCAAGCCACTCAAGGTGAAATCTCCGTGCACTTTGGCTTGATTGCTCACTTGCCGACTTACTTGTTCTGAAGGTCGCTTTGCTGACAAGGTTGATGCAATCATCATTGAGACCCAGAGCCGGTTGTTCCAATGCTTGCCTTGTCTCCGCCTCCTCCTCCATCCCTGGATGGAGCAGTATCCCTAATCTTAAGCCATCATCTTACGCTCCAAGGTTTGCGGTTCAGGTTGACCTTCGATGGACAGGTCCAAGGTTTCCAGAGCTGTAGCCGTAAGGTTTCCGAACTTCAGGGTAAGTCCGACTCATGATAACTCAGCCTAAGCGCCGAAGCCCTTCACCTCAATTTTCTGATATTGGGACAAGGGAAGCCGGCAAATGCCCGCAACACCTCCAGATCCACTGCTCGGCTCTTCGTCTTGGGATAGCTGGTGTTGCGTGTTAAAGACCATACGGGGCATCAGAATGTCGGATGAGAGCATCACAGATTGGAGTTCGAATTTGCCTGGTTTTGGCGGGTTTGCTGTGTTGAGAATGTGACAAGTTTGGGCCACCGCACATGGGGCCCTGAGGGTTTACGATGTTCATTCTTGTCACGTGAACGACACCCCAGAAATTGTGTCTCTGGGCGTGAGCCTCTGTATACACACATATGTGTCTGTATATGTATGTGCATACCTGTATGTACAACAACAGCATATGCATGTAAATATATCTGCCTGTACGCATAAACGTAAATATGTCAATCTTGTACATCCATCATCCATCTGTCTGTCTGTCTGTCTGTCTGTCTGTTTGTCTGTCTGTCTGTCTGTCTGTCTGTCTGTCTGACTGTATGCATGTGTGTGTGTACCTATGTATGTAAGTATGTATGTATGTATGCATGGATGTATGTATGTATGTATGTATGTATGTATGTATGTATGTATGTACTTATGCACTTGTGCACTTATGGACTTATGGACTTATGTATGTATGTATGCATGTATGTATGTATGTATGTATGTATGCATGTATGCAAGTACTTTTGTAGGTATGCGTGTGAGTGTGTGTGCATATGTGTGTATGTTTGTAGGTGAGCATGGATGTGCATGTGTGTGTGTGTATGTCTATGTGTTTGTGTTGTGTGTGTGTATGTGTGTATGTTTGTGTGTATATGTGTGTGGATGCGTACGTACATGAATATGTATTTGTACACTTATCTGTATACGTGTATGTGTATGTACATACCTCACATCCTGTGCAAGTAGTAACTCGTATAGTAAATGCTACAGTCAAAGCTTGACACCCATCTGCCTGCAGGCGCGGGCAGGGCCCGCGGCGATCAATCGGAGGTCGCGAATGCTTTCCTGGGTTTGGGGATTTACTTAAGACTTCGAAGCTCTGTAGTGAAGTGGAGGAATATTCCTGAAGCTATAGCGGTTGGATCTTACGAGCGGGAGCTTACCATAGGCACGATGCGGTCGACGTAAAGGTTCAGGGTTCAGTTCCATTACGGCCTGATGCTGTATGAAACCAGGCAGGCAAAGCTAATCTGCAGCTACCAATGCGTAGAACCAACAAGTAACGCCAAATAATTCCAACAGACACGTAGAAGCGGGCAGGTTGGCTCTGGATGTGGAGGTATCACTCTTAAACAGGACAACAGCGCCGAGGGGCTCGAGGGAAAGAAACCCGACAGCCCGAGCAACAAAGCTGGGCCTTAACTAGAATCATGCTGATTCTGCACTTCGTTTCAGAACTGAGTATGGGCTCAGAGCAAAGTTCAACTGGGCCACAGTATTGCGTGGCATTCTGGTGTCTCGCGATATTCCAGCCTATGGGCAGCAAGGACAAGGCGGTGTTTGCTCAGTTTGTTGCTAGCGAAGCCGTTTGCCAGCGGAAACTCCGGGGAACCAACAGCTTCAGGAGTCCGAAGCCCTGAAGTCGAAGCCCTACAGTTCAGAGTTTAGCGCTCAGGGTTGGAGTAAGGGTTCAACAAATTAAATAGAAGTCATGCCTGGGAGGCATCGCGATCCTGGGAGAATTTTAAACACGAAGAACATACCCCCTTGACACCCCACAAGCCCTAAACCCTCAACACCCCACTCTCCTCGAAAAGACAGAGTATAACTAGGTCTTTGCTTTGGCCACCCTTTTGGCCGACCTCTTCGAGAGGGCAGCCGAGCGCCGGAGTCTCTGAAGATGTCTGGGGTTAGTTCGCGTGCTTTGAAGAACTAGGCTCGACCAGAGTTCAGGCTTATGGGGTATCCCTTCGTCGAGTGACTGCAACAGGAAAGTGTTGATGATTGTTGAGTGCGTGGGGGTGTCCAGTTCGAGGAAGAAGGCTTACAAATAGGCTTTTCATGATCTTGGGTTGTAGAGTGCGTGAAGAGGTGTGAACCGCATTCACATACTTCGGGCTTGGGGCCTCTGGTTCGCGTTCTGAGAAGCATTCAAATCTCACTCCGAAGCCTGGTAGCCAAGGTGCGAGCTGCCTAACAGCGGAGACGGCGCGGCACGAGTATTGCTGCAAGCTGAGACCAACACTCTCGAAGATGATGATGGGCCTTGATGGCACGGTGAGATGATGATGCAACACGGATGATGACATTGATGATGACGCTGTTGGTCATGATTAAGATGATTATCAGGATGATGATCGTCATGGTCATCTCGTCATCTGAACCATCCCAATTACCATCATCATCATCATCATCATCATCAACCCATCGTCATCGTCATCGTTGTGTTTGTCGTCATAACTCATCCACATTTCCATCGTCCTCGTGTTCGTCTTCTTCGTCGTAGTTGCGAACCATTTTGCTTTTTCGGAAGAGGGCGAAGCCTGCGCCAGTCCAATACCCGTGAGCCCGCGAGCCGATGCTGCTTTAGTTTGTCTCGTATTGATCTCGCCGCTACCGCTATCGTGGGCACCCGGCCCTGGGCCGATTGCGGTTTCGCTGCCACGCACGACAAAGCGTGGCTTAGGAGGATAAGCCTTGATTGGCTCGTTTGACCATAGTCGTTCTGCCACGTCGGAAGTGTGCAAGAGGGCCATCAACTCCAAGACTGCAATTCTTCAATTCTGCATGTTGGCGACCAATCCTGGAACAGTCCGCCTTCGTCTTCGCGTCGAGTTCGTGTGGATAGTATGGGGGTTCGGGAAGACGGTGCTTTACGGGTTTAGGTTTTAGGGTTGGGAGTTCAGGAAGCCGTTGAAACCCTAGGTTCTGGACCGATGGGCCTGTTGAAGTCCGCTTAAGTTTTTTTTTGGCTTAGGCTTTCCCTTTCCATGCCGTCAGGTGCCCTGCAAAACATGGGCTTGACAGGGCTCCGGTCTTTTGCTCTTGAAGCTTGAGGTTCAGGGTTTAAGGGACAGGCCCGAGACCTGCACGCGGTTACTTAGAAGGGTTTTCAACTGCTTCCCCGATGGCACTTGGTTTGCACTTGCTTTGCTCTTTCCCTCACCAGCGCCGACATGCTTGAGACCTTGGAGGGTTCATGGTGCAGGGCTTTACACAGCAAATCCGAAAGCTGTTCTGCATTTACTTTTTGTCTGGAACACCACAACACCACGGGGAATGCCACCTTGCATCGAGAGGTACAACCACCGAAACAGCAAGGATCTCGACTTTGTAACACTCATGCTACCCTTCTGAGTGCATATTTAGCGCGACCGACTCCTGAAGCCTTGAACCAGAGACATGTCGCAAACGCAGTCGTAGCTACCATGAGTGGACCAAGCAGCCGGGAAACTTCGAGGTTCTTCTGTGCTGCAGCCGGGGCTACACCAGGCGGCTCAAGTGGCAGTTTGAGCGGGTTTGGGGTTCCGTTTTTCGTCTTTGCGGGGGGCGGGTTTGCTTGAAGGTTGCGATATGAGGCAGCACGATGATCGCAGATGTTGGGCCGGGCTTAGGAACGTAGCAGGTAGTAGGTGTCGCAGTCGTCGTCGTAGTCGTTGTCGTAGCAGTAGTAGTGATGACATTGGATTTAGTGGTCACAATCGTAGTCGCCGTCGTCGTCGTCGCCGTCGTCGTAGTAGTAGTAGTGGTAGTGGTGGTATTGTTGTTACTACTCATGGTCGCAGTCGTCGTCGCTTTCGCAGTCGTAGCCGTAGCAGTAGTAGCAGTAGTGACAGTAGTAGCACTGGCAGTAGTAGTAGTA